GCCGTCGGCCAGACAGTGTCGACTAGCAACCCCCAGGGGGAGAGCCTTCTCTGTGGGAGCGCCTTCCCTCTGGAATGAGCTGCTTCGTATAATCCCCGACCTCCGATCCTTCCGATGTGCCCTAAAAAGTTGGCAAGCCAGCCTGGCCTGAACAAAACAAAATACATTATTGATCATTGTTAATTTTAATTGAATTTTTTTTAAAAAATGTTATTGTTAGTCCTAATTGGGTTTGTTTGGGATATTCTATTTAATTTTTTTAAACTTTTGTAATATGTGTTTTTTTAATGTTGTACGCCGCCCTGAGTCCTTGGGAGAAGGGTGGCGTATAAATCCAATAAACCAAACCAAACCAAATGAAAGTAACTCAGGGGGACAGAAGGCAAGGTAGTGGTACTGATGCATCATTCTATTTCTATGAATTATATACCATATAATTCATATAATATACCAGTTGCCAAACTTGGCAACTTTAAGACTTATGGACTTCAACTCCCAGAATTCTCCAGCCAGCAGAGCTTGGGAACCACTGTACTATACCATATAAACTTTCTAGCATATAATATCAATAGCACTTAAGACTTATATACCACTTCACAGTGCTTTTACACCCTTCTCTAAGCAGTTTACAGAGTCAGCCCATTGCCCCCAATAATCTGGATCTTCACTTTACCGACCTTGAAAGGATGGGTCAATAGCAATTGCAACAGCGCTTGAGACTTATATACAGCTTTACAGTCCTTTTACACCCCTCTGTAAGTGGTTTACTAAATATCCCCCAACAATCTGGCTCCTCATTTTACTGACCTCGAAAGGATGGAAGGCTGAGTCAGTAGCAACAGCATTTAGACTTATAAACAGCTTTACAATCCTCTTACACCCTTCTCTAAGTGGTTTACAGAGTCAGTCTGTTGCCCCTCAACAATCTGGGTCCCCATTTTACCGACCTCAGAAGGCTGGAAGGCTGAGTCAATAGCAATAGCAACAGCACATAAGACTTATATACAGCTTCACAGTGCTTTTACACCCTTCTCTAAGCAGTTTACAGAGTCAGCCTATTGCCCCCAACAATCTGGGTCCTCATTTTACCCACCTTGGAAGGCTGAGTCAACCTTGAGCCTGGTGGGATTTGATCTGCCAAACTGCAGGCAACCAGCAGTCATCCGAAGAAGCCTGCAATACTGCACTCTGACCACTGCGCCACCGAGACTCAGGGATCAGATCAAAGAGAAGCGCCCCAAACTATATTTAATTGCCCCTAAATCTCCCTTTTTTTCCCTCTCCCCAGGATCAACGTATAGCGTTCTTTCTATAATGCCTTCGGACTCTGAAAGCAGTAGTTCTCTCAGCAGTACTGGTAAGTAAAGAGCTACACGAGTTGCGGTTTGGCTATTTGGTTTGAATTGATGGTCAGTCTTGAATATATGTATTTTCTTACACAAAAATCTATGCTTAAGAATTGTGGTCACTGGTTGAAAGTTCCAGACAGTTCTATGTTTGAGAAAAGATGTCTCTGGATGCTTCTAAAACGGTTGAATTTCCTACAAGTAGTCCTCTAATTTATGAGCCCAGAATTTTGACTGCTAAGGTTTTTGTGTGTGTGTGTTGTGTGTGCATATTATGGGACGCAGTGGCTCAGTGGCTTGTTGATCAGAAAGGTTGGCAATTCGGTGGTTCAAATCTCTAGCGCCGCGTAACAGAGTGAGCTCCTGTTACTTGTCTCAGCTTCTGTCAACCTAGCAGTTTGAAAGCACGTAAAAATGAATACATAAAAAGTGTAACAAAAGGAAAGGGTATATATTTAGAAAGTAACAAAATGTAAATGATGTATATATTATAAAAATGAGTAACTATGAAATAAGGAGGTATATGTATAAAACAATAGGCCTTAGAATGGAAAATTGGAAATTGGAAAAAAGAAATATATACCGATAACGGAAAGCTGTAAAAGTGTACTTGTGATTTTAATGTTTTTAAAATGTTGAATAAAAATTATTTTTAAAAAATGCAGGTAGAAAAATAGGTGGAAAGGTAACAGAATTCCGTGCGCCTTTGACATTTAGTCATGCCAGCCACATTCCCACAGAGACATCTTCGGACAGTGCTGGCTCTTCGGCTTTGAAATGGAGATGAGCCCCGCCCCCTAGAGTCAGGAACAACTTGCACAAGTGTGCGAGGGGAACCTTTACCTGTTGGAATATACCTCTGTCTGGACCCTGTTTTTCAAACTTCTCTGTCCTTTTTCATTGCTGCAAACTACTCCTAGATCCATTGTTCACCTATAACCTTTTTTTTACTATTCTATTTCTTCATTGTTGCAAACTGTTCATAGATCAGTCATTCATCTATAATGGTTTTTAAATAGCTATTCTAATTCTTCTTCTTTTAGAATTTGGATCCTATCTTCCTTTATAATGGGCAAATCTTTTTTAGTCTGTTTAAAATGCAACACTAATTTTAGGGTTTGTTTCTTGATGTTCATCAGGACCAAAATCCTGATGGTAACCTATGAATCTTCCATTTTGTCTGGCGATTCTTAAGCCAGGAATTCCAGTTTCAGAAACCCTGAGTCCAAAAGCAGCTGGCTTTGACCACACATTTCCTGCTAACAAGAGTGCTTGGGTTTCGTTTAATACATTTAATACCTCATTAATTATAGAGTTCCCAGCAAGCTTTACGCTACGCAAGCGCTCTAAAGTAGCACATAAAGCTTAGCCTTCCACGATTTAAGTAGGTGCCCACTTGGGTTTTATTTTCGGAATCTGGTTTTAATTCTAGGGATGCTTGGAAAAGTTTACGCTTCTGGAGCGAAGTCCAGAAACGGATCTATCAGTCCAATACTCCTGTGGGAGCAATTCTTATGCAACTGAAATCTTGCGGCCTGATGCTAAATCAGTCCCGTGATCAAAACAGAGACTAATGTAGACGCTACACACAGGGAGACAGAGGGGGGGGGGCACTTTCTCTTCACGTGTGGCGAATGAGACCACAGCAAGCAAGCATTTGCACCCTGTTTTCAAGATAAATAAAAATTGTGTTCCATATGAAGCAGTCCCTGGATGCCGTTTTTTAGCTTTCCTGCAATAAAGGAAAAGTTGCAGAAGCCTTGCAAGGCTGTTTCTTTGTTGCAGGTCAGGCTTGTGTTGTGTCTGTAAGAGATAACATGTTTCACTGAGTGAAATCAGCTTTCAGTAAATAAAAAACATTGGTTCAGCCTAAGCTGATGAAGAGTGTCTGGCATTATTTTGCGCTGCCAGCCCAGATGGTTTAAATCACATTTCTGCTGGTATTTTCATCCCAATAAGACGAACAGTGCCTTTTAAAAAAATAGAAAGCTTCTGTTTATTTAAAAGTGAACTCGGTGGAGGTTTAACTCTCTGTCCCTCGTCAAAGATCCTTCTCTCCTTTTCCCAATCAAACACTCCTCTTTCTTTCCTTCTTTCTTTCTTTCTTTCTTTCTTTCTTTCTTTCTTTCTTTCTTTCTTTCTTTCTTTCTTTCTNTGATATTTTCACAGCCTGGGTCATCATTTCACCCACCTTGGAAAGATGGAAGGCTGAGTCAACCTTGAGCTGGTGAGATTAGAACCACTGAACTGCAGATAACAGTCAGCTGAAGTGGCCTGCAGTACTGCACCCTAACCACTGCGCCACCTCGGCTCTTGAAGGGTCTAGTTCAGGGGTGTCAAACTCAAGGCTTGCAGGCAGGATTCAGCCCATGGGGTGCTTAGATCTGGCCCATAGGGCCACCCTGGAAGAACCACCCTGCTGTGCCTCTGCCAGTGAAAATGGAGCTTGAGAGGGCCACGCATGGCCCTCCCAAGCTCCATTTTCAGCCATGAAGGCCTACTGCAGCCCTCGGCCAGCAAAAACAGAGCTCTGGGAACAGCAATAGGTCAGCCTGCAGTTTTTCTGCCAGTGAAAATGGAACTGGGGGGGCACATGCTCCTCCAGGCTCCATTTTTGCTGGCAGAGGACTAGCAAAACAAAAGAAAAGGAGAAACATTTCTCCTTTTGCATTTGAGCATGCAAGAAGGGACAGGAAAGGAGAAAGGGAAAGAGGAGAGACAAAGAAAAAGAAGGGAAGTTGAGAAGAGAAAAGAAAGAGGGGTAAGAAGAAGAAAGATTGAAGAGGGAAGGAAAAAGAAGAAGGAAAGAAGGAAAAAAGAAAGAAAGGGAAATAAATAAATAATGAGCGTGATGGAGGGTCTGAAGGAAGTCCTGCCTTGGCTATCACAGGTGCCCGCAACACAAGTGAAGTTGAGCTGGCCACGCCCATCATGGCCACACCCACCATAGCTATCCCCCCCTCAGTCTCCCCACCCCCAAGGCCAAACAGAACCGTAATGTGTCCCTCAATGAAATCAAGTTTGACACTCCTGGTCTAGGTCCTAGATTATATGACATATGTACAACCCAGCAATATTTGGAAATGTGTTTGGTATCCCCCTAGAGTAAAATCTACATCAGAAATACATCAGAATATATCAGAAAGACCTGTCAGATAAAAGAAATGCAGAAGGGAAAAAGATTATCTCCTGAGAAAGAGGCAGATTCTTAGTGGACATAATGCTTATTGAGAAGTAGCTGAAGGATTGAAATACATGCTTTCAAAGGATTGATTTCTTCCATTAGGAAGAAGGAGCCAAGGAAAACAGCCTTTAAAAACCTGGTGAGGACAATACAGGTTTTATGGACCTTGATATAATAGACTTTGATAAAATTGGCCTCACCTAGAAGTCATGGGCAAATCATTATTTCCAAAATCCAATTTCTTGATTGGTTTAAAAGCCAGAACATATTCAAAAGACCCAAAACCAAGTCAAGATTTGAGTTGCAAATCTGGTATCTACTGAGATAAACAAAAAGAGGAAATTGACCTATTAAGCCTAGCAAAAAGGATAATATTTCCCCAAACTAAATCAAAAGTAACTTTTCTAGTGTATCCCAACATCTCCCACTTTTTATAAGTTCATTTTTCCATGGCAACAATTTTTTCTAGTTTTTCATGCCAAGCATCAAGTGATAGAGCTTCTGGGTTTTATATAAACCATGATTTGCAAACTACAATAGATGGTTCATTCAGCAATCAGAGATAAATCACTGAATAATCTATATACTCGGAATCTAGGCTATATAAGAGGAACTATGAATATCACTGAACTACTGAAGTCTAGGCAAGTCCTCTTGATTTGAAAGTAAGAGGATTAGGAATGATTGGGCAAATCTTTATAACTTACCTGGCCAATTTTAGGACTTTGAGGTCTTTGAATTTGTCATGAATCAACGTTGTCCCAATTTTGTTTTCCCTAAAGAAGTTGTCCTCTGGTATTTTGACTCATCTATTCTACCTTGTTCAAAGGCATTTGGTAGATTTGTGTCATCACACAGATGAGGCAAATTACACAATTCACATAATTTGCACAATGATGCCAGTGAGGTGTCATCACATGCTTCCTCCTACAGACACACACACAGAAAGGCAGGAAAGCCAACACAGTTATAGGCTGCATTAACAGAGGGATAGAATCAAGATCACATGAAGTGTTCACACCACTTTATAATGCCTTGGTAAGGCCACACTTGGAATATTGCATCCAGTTTTAGTCACCACAATATAAAAAAAAGATGTGGAGACTCTAGAAAGAGTGCAGAGAAGAGCAACCAAGATGATTAGGGGACTGGAGACTAAAACAGATGAAGAACGGTTGCAGGAACTGGTTATGTCTAGTTTAATGAAAAGAAGGACTAGGGGAGACATGGTAGCAGTGTTCCAATATCTCAGGGGTTGCCACAAAGAAGCGGGAATCAAACTATTCTCCAAAGCACCTGAGGGCAGGACAAGAAGCAACAGATGGAAATTAATCAAGGAGAGAAGCAACCTAGAACTAAGGAGAAATTTCCTGTCAGAAGAATTAATCAGTGAAACAGTTTGCCTCCAGAAGACTTGGATGCTCTGTCACTGGAGGTTTTTAAGAAGATATTGGACAACAATTTGTCCAAAATGGTGTAGGGTCTCCTGCTTCAGCAGGAGATTGGACTAAAAGACCTCCAAGGTATCTTCCAACTCTGTTATTCTGAAAGTACAAGAAAAGATTGATGCCGACAACTCTGTTGAAAGAGTTAACGGCACAGTCTGATTTTTTTAATCTAAGTTAAATGCCACGGAATATGTGATTGTGTCACTCAATCTTGCTTCAAGGGCACCATTAAACCCAAATACCAGTAGAAAAAAGATAAGTGCATAATCACCTCAGCAACTGTGTGGCTTCAAACAGTGTTTACTTCCTAGGATACAATCCCATTCACTTAATTGATTCTGTAAGGTAGTAGTGCTAAAGGGATAGGGGGACAACGGAGCTTAATGGGCCTTGTGTGAATCCATGCATTTAAAATGGCAGCACCGCCAAAATTTGTTTGATTTTCAATCTGCAGCTGTGATGATTCCCTAAGAAATCAATTAGGAATTAGCCTAAGTCCTGAATGACTTCTGAAGGGGGGGGGGAGAAGGGTCTGAGGTGACTCAGGTACACCTGGAAGGCTAAGATGATTGAGGGGAGGGTTCAAGACAGTCCAGCTACCAATGAATCATTTACAACAGGATGAGTGACAGGTTAGAGGAATAAGGCTGCTTTGAGGTGAGAGGAGGACTCATCTTGTGTTTGTGTGGGCAGTTCTGCTTTGCAATTTTGGAGGTCGTGGAATTTAGACTCTTTCCCCATGTATTCCTTTTCCTCCTCCGGGCTCCTTTGCTGGCATGGTGCCATGGGGTCCTGGCATCAGCCTTTAGTGGAGCATAGGATCTGCTCAGCAGCTAATGACCTGCTTTTTTATGTTGCCATAAAGACAAATGAGGCAGAGAAAAGAGGGGAGTAGGGGTGGGGTCCTTGGAAAGGCTGCCTCCCTCGATCTGCTGGAGGCCATGGGCACTTGGCACAGTAGTCACAATGAGAACAATTGGGTGTGTGTGGCAAGAATCAGTCTGAGGTTTGGGGGATTTTCTTCCTTGGAGGTGGGGCGAGTCATGATGGCCTTCGTTGAGAAAATATTTCTTGATTTTTTGCATGTTCCTCCTGCCTTCACAGGTTTTCCCTAGGATACCAAAACTTAATAAGCATTCATTCATCCCATTCAACTGTGCCAAGACTTTTGTAGGAAGTTGGCACCTACACCTCTCATAGAAAAATGAAACATCCTAGGAAATATTGAACAGGCAGAATATTATATTTCCCTGGATCAGAAATGGAGAAAGATGTTTTTAGGCAGGAAACAGACTCACTCTTAATAGCCCCCATCTTTATCAATGGGCCATTAGGGGCCCTGAGCTAGTCTACTCTACATAATAAATGTAGGATTAGCCTTCTACAGAAACTCATCACATGGCATCTGGGAACTCAACCAAGCTTGGACTCAAAACACAGCCTAGAGAGTTGCCCCTGCATGGCCCCATTGGAGTCTGACAACCAATCAGAATACATTTCTTACACAGGAACAGGAAACAGAGAGGCGGGGTGAATAAAGAGTATTAAAAAAAACAGGAACTGTCAGCAAGCTCTCTTCTCTCTTTTTTTCTTCTTCACCCAACATCTGGAAGCATGTGATCCTCCTTTTTTGTTCAGGACCTCAAGCCATGTGTATCCTGTACACTGTTAAACCATCATTCCAAGCAGCCTCCTTGTTTCCAGTGTCTTTTTTCCCACTTGGAACTGAACCCAGAAGCACATTTCTTCCAACACTTTCATGTAGGTAAGGAGGGATTCTCACCATGTTTTTAGATTTGGAGGGTCCTTGAAGAGTTGAGCGCCAATTCTTAGAAGACTACAGGTCTTTAAACTCAATACTACTACTAATACATTCGTATCGGAAGCACCTGGGTTGAAAGGATTAGCAGGTGATAGCATCATTTCCCAGGGGATGCCTGAGGGTGCTTGGTATTTTCGAACCAAAGTGGTACCTATTTATCTACTTGCATTTGCATACTTTTGAATTGCTAGGCTGGCAGGAGCTAGGGCAAATTGATAGGCGCTCATTCCATCATGTGGCTTGCACTCTTGGATTTTGAACTGCCAAGCTTTTGACCTCTCAAAGGACTTCCAACTTAGCATCATAATCACATGAGTCACTGAGACCCTTAACTCAACACTATCAACTACATCTCTCAGCTGGCAAGTTGGCCAATGAATTCGGTGAGTGATTAAATTCAAAAGATTTTACTACCGGTTCTGTGGGCGTCGTGTGATGGATGTGGCAGGGGAAGGATACTGCAAAATCTCCATTCCCACCCCACTCCTGGGGGAAGGATACTGCGAAATCCCCATTCCCTCCCCATTCCTGGGGGAAGAATACTGCAAAATCTCCATTCTCACTCTACTCTGGGGCCAGCCAGAGGTGGTATTTGCCGGTTCTCCGAACTACTCAAAATTTCTGCTACCAGTTCTCCAGAACCTGTCAGAACCTGCTGAATTTCAGCCCTGGATTTGGCCCTCAGCAACTGCTCAGCTTGATCAATTCCTAATCCCAGTGGAAAGAAAGGTCGTTTGAAAAATCAACAGCAACCCCCTCACTCCCGTAGAAAAAAAAATCTCAGTGTTCTCAAACCCTACAGCTCCAAGGAAACAGCACTGATGTGAAAGCACAAAACAACAAACTTGCAAGGAAAGAGGATGGTACAAATCAGAAGAAGAAAAGAAATTGTTGAGTGCAACCAATCAATTCCCGTCAACATCCATAAACAATATTAAGTGGAACAGGCATTCATAATTTAAAAATATGACAAATGTGGGCATTGTCCTCCAACAACTTGATATTAATAGTGTTTGAGATGTTGCCAATAAGTCACAGGCAACTTGGAGACTATTGTCCTATTAATTGTAAGATCAGTGATGCAATATGTCTGCTAATTAGGACAGAAATGAGTGCTGAAAGAAAGAAAGACTTTCAATACTTAGAATCAGGCCAAGGGAGCGGATGCCTCTGAAGCTCTTTCTTCGACCACAGCCCATTTTGTGTGGTCAAAAGTTTCAGAAATCTCAGCCAACAATCCTCACTTGCCTCTTCTAAGGTAAGGGAAGAAGAGAGTTATTTTCAACCTTAGACTGTAATCTTTAGAGTACCACCAACTTTTAATTAACTACGCTGGTCAGATTCTGAGAAATACCTGCACTGATTGTTCTTTCTAAACCGCCTGAAGCCAAGAAACATAGCCGACAGCTTCACAAATTCCTGTTTGTGAAAAAGAACTTTATTCTGAAGCTTTATGAACACAACAAGACCTTAGGGGACATGATTCAACAAGCATGAGCACCACTTCAGTTTTGAGGCCTTCCCTCTACTCAGCTGATGCAACTTCTAATATTTTATGTATGTTTTATTTTTTTTATCTCATCAAGCACGTATTAGATAACATATATGTATAAACATGATTTTGGATACATGAAATGGATACGAATAAAAAGAAGCATTAGGGCAGTGGCATTAGTTTCCAAGAGTTACTATCAAATTAATTTGGAGCTGGAGATTCGCCTCCGTTCATGAGGGTTTGTTCAAATAAAACAAAAAAGCAATACTTACCTTTCTTGGATTTCGCACCAATCTTCAGTTTAGAGGGCCAAGCAATCTGGGTGTTAGTTTCCTCCATCATCTGTCAAAGGAGACGAAATATTGGTTTCAATTTAAACACATTTGCCGTTTTCTATCAGACGGAAACAAGGAGAATTTGTAATAATTCTGAACTGCTGCAAAGTTGCCTTAAAATACCAAGAAATGGAATGGGGTGAGGTCGACAGTAGACAGTCTAAGGTTAAAGTTGTGGGGGTTTGGGAAGAAACCACATTATTCCAGGCATTGACCACTCTGTTGTTGAAGTCGTATTTTCTGCAATCAGGTTTGGAGCGGTTTACCTTAAATTTGTATCTATTGTGTGCTAGTGTATTGTTGTGGTTGAAGCTGAAGTAGTCATTGACAAGTAGAATGTTGTAGCAGATAATTTTATGTACTACACTTAGATCAGACCAAAGGCAGCATAGTTCTAAGTTGTCTAAGCCCAAAATTTCAAGTCTGGTGGCATAAGGTATTCTGTCACGAGCAGAGGAGTGGAGGACTCTTCTCAGGAAATATCTCTGGACTCACTTGATTGTATTGATGTCCAATATGCAGTGTGGGTGTATTGGTGCCCTTGTTAAGCTGATTTTGAGAGTGTTCATCATATCTTTCATCTGAATGAACTTCAAAGCATCTTACTGCAAGAGTAACAAACAAAGAAAAAAATCCAGTTTCCCTTTGATTAATAGCATTTTTGCAATCCCAGGATCTTTTTAAACAGACTGGGAAAGTAAGATAATCTATGAAAGTCAAGAAAGATTTTGTCTTGGAAATGTAGTCTAATGTTCTTTCATTTTGCAATGACTACTCTGTGAGGCTTAGTGAGTCAGTGGCTAAGACACTGAGCTTGTCGATCAGAAAGTTTGGCGGTGTGAATCTGTAGCACCGCGTAACAGAGTGAGCTCCCATTACTTGTCCCAGCTTCTGCCAACCTAGCAGTTCGAAAGCACGTAAAAAATGCAAGTAGAAAAATAAGAACCACCTTTGGTGGGAAGGTAACAGCGTTCCGTGCACCTTCGGCATTTAGTCATGCTGGCCACATGATCATGGAGACGCCTTTGAACAGCGCTGGCTCTTCGGCTTTGAAATGGAGATGAGCACCGCCCCCTAGAGTTGGGAATGACAAGCACATATGTGGGAGGGGAACCTTTACCTTACTCTGTGTAGAGTTAGAATGGGGACATAGACAGAAACAGTGAGGTTTCAATTTGGAAAGGGATTCATTTATTTCTATATTTTATATTATATGTAATCTAACTTAGCAAAAAATCCTGTCCAAGAAATTCTTGCTGCCAGTTTCTCAGTCAGATTGCCCTCCATTAAACAAATGTGATAATGATGGTGTCACTGAGCCGAGGTAGCGCAGTGGTTAGAGTACAGTACTGCAGGCTATTTTAGCTGACTGCTAGCTGCAATTTGGCAGTTCAAATTTCACCAGGTTCAAGGTTGACTCAGCCATCCATCCTTCCGAGGTGGGTAAAATGAGGACCCAGATTGATGGGGGCAAGAGGCTTACTCTGTAAACTGCTTAGAGAGGGCTGTAAAAGCACTATGAAGTGTTATACAAGTTTAAGTGCTACTGCTATTAAGTTGATTCTATGGGCCTTGTCTCTCCACATTTTCCCATCTTGCACTTCTTTGAGTTGAACTCTAAACTTTGGCTGGTGTCAGCTTTGATGGTGTCCACTCACTCTGTTCTTTGGTGGTCTGGTTTCCTTTTACCACTAACTCTTCCAAACATAATTGCTTTCTCCAGTGAATTCCTGTGCATGACATGGCCAAAGCAAATGAGATTTTGCCTTCTAGAGACATGTCTGATGTTATGCACTCCAGGACTTGCTTGCTAGCTACCTTTGCTCTCCAAGGATAAACACATGTAGCTTGAAGGGATTTCTTGGCTCCAACATTATCACTGGAGGCCTAAGTGCTCTTGTTGCTAGGACAGTATAAAGATTTTAAGGGATCAGGTTGAGTGAGAGTTCATCTAGGAAATATTAAATTTATATGAAATGTCTTGCAAATATTTCCACACGTTTGTTGATAGAGCCTAACACTGCACCTCCATCATTCTTTTCTTGAGGTACAAAATCATGTTTAAAATTATTCTAGAGTCTCTGAATCAACCCGTGGTGGGATTCAAATTTTTTTACTAGCGATTCTGTGGGTGGAGCATGGCTTGGTGGACATGGCTTGGTCGGCGTGGCAGGGAAAGGATACTGTAAAATCTCCATTCCTTCCCCACTCCAGGTAAAGGATACTGTAAAATATCCAGCCCCTCCCCACTCCAGGGGAAGGAGACTGCAAAATCTCCATTCCCTCCCCACTCCAGAGGAAGGAGACTGCAAAATCCCCATTCCCTCCCCACTCCAGGGGAAGGATACTGTAAAATCCCCATTTCTTCCCAATCAGCTGGGACTCGGGAGGCAGAGAATAGATGGGGGCGGGGCCAGTCATAGGTGGTATTTGCCGGTTCTCTGAACTACTCAAAATTTCCACTGCCGGTTCTCCAGAACTGGTCATAACCTGCTGAATACCACCTCTGAGATACATACACTTTTGAGTTGATTATGAGTTTTGTCACTGGCAAAAACATTTCATCCACATGGTGAAAAAACCCACAGCTTTTACTTGCCAGGCCTTGAGGGAAAAACTTTTAGATAAATGCATGACAAAGAGGCTAAAACAGATTGCTCCTGAGTATTTGGCATGTTAAATCCTTAAGCATCAATTATTCATAGCAACAGAGCCCCCACAATTTATCACAACTCAAACAGCATCCTCCTTGAAATTCAGTGCAACTAATATGTAACACAACAGGAGGAAAGTGTTGTGTGGTCTATAGCTTCATTAAAACAGCACTGGAAAAACAAAATGATTTGTGATGATCACAATATTTCTCACCCTATCTTTTACTGTATTTTAAAACTTACACAATCCTCAAGTGGAAGGCCCTGTTTCATCACAAGTTCTTCAGAGAGGCAAGGAACTTTAATCTCTTAGAGATCTGTGTTTGTTATGTTATCATTTCACCAAAAGAAATTAGACTAAAGAATTAGTCTAAATCAGAATTTAGCTGTATTTGTACTTCTAACAGCTAAGATCTAAAACTGATTCTTTGTAACTTTCTCTTTCTTTCTTTCTTTCTCTTCTTCTTTCTCTCTATTTTTCCATGTTTTCAGCTTTTTTTAACCTTTCTTTAATAAATGTATTAAATTTATATGTCATCCATCTCAATATCACATTTCTGAGGGGCTTAAGTTGATAAAAACAAGGTTGTAAAATATTAAAACAATAAACACATCATCAGAATTAGCAGAAATTGTTTTTTTAACTTGCCTTACTTTTTTTCTTCCAAAATTTATGTTGTGCTTTTTTTAATTCTTTAAAAAATTATATAGGAAAAAATCAGGCAGAGCCTGAGGGTGGAATCAAGACAGGAATAAGCCTAGAGCTATTACATTCTCACAAGTTGTCTAAGTTCAACTCTTCTTGAATTCTGTTGATTCTTATCTGATGCTAAATTAAATGCAGACCATTAGTTGACTTGTGGATAGGTATGAACAATAAATCATATGAATTGGAATTCACATGGTCCTGATTCTTTGCGCCAATATATCAAGAAACAATAAACAATAAAGAGGGAAAGAGAAAAGGAAAAAGAAAAAGAGAGAAGACAGCCAAAAGGAATGCAATTCTGTTACTATGCTAAATCCTTGTTAGAGTGTACACAGGGTGACTCTGTGAGACAACCCCAGGAACAAATACAGTAAACAGAGGTTTGTATTTAAATAGTGGTTTTTATCTACAAATAATATATACATACTTTAGTCAGACCTCAAACAAACAGCAATCAACAATTACAGCATGGAAGCACACACGGAGAGAGAGATATGCCCCCAACATGGCCTCTCTTATAATACAGACTCTTAAAGTGATAACAGTCAAATAACTCTGCTGACTCATTACAACCATTGCATCATCATTACAGCATTACAGCAACTGGTCAGCTATTAAATCATCATTACCATGACAGTCCTATTATCTGTTTGAACCAAGCTATCAACCCCACAATGCATTGGTTGATGCAGTGAGGTCATCCTTGCCAAGAAGATAGAATATCTGATCTGGTGTCTTATTTCACTGAAGACCATCATGCTCTGAAGGGCTGCCCAGCCTATCTATAGTTTTAAAATATCTTTAAGAAAGGAAGGAAGAACCTTGAACTTTCCATCAATAGTTATCAAAATGAGGTGGTGTACCTTGTGGCCTTCCTCACTCTCTGGAGTATTTCTAGTGACATTTTAGCACCTTTTCAAGACAAGCTCCTGTAAAAATAAATTAGCAAGTGTAAATGTGATTAAACCTACTCTCTCTTTTTTAGGTGATTGTGTCAATGGCCATTCCCATCTGTGGCTATTTTCTCTATCTCCCTCATGCATAACTAATTAGTCATTTAATTCAATCAGACTGTGCTCATGCATGAAGAAATTGAGACGAGACTAAAGTTTTTGTAAAAAAAAACCACCACCACCACCTTGTTTAATTTCCAGCCAGATTTTTCCCTTTTGATATGATGTCTTGTTCATTTCCTTTGTTATATTTTAATTGGTCCTAATAAAGCTATTAAATTACTATGGCTTCTTGGGGTTTTTTCCCCTGTCATCTTGTGGTTCTATCTCTGCTAACCTTGAAATGCTGTATATCAATTTTCTGGGTCAAGGAAAACACTACCAAGTTTGATAAAGGAGAAAATGTCAGGAGATTTGTACCTCTTGGAAAAATCTGGCACAAAATCTAAATTGATTGTCTTATTGATGCCACAGGGCTCAGGTTGAAATTAGAGATTTTCATTTTTCTATGTAAATCTCTGTCATTGGTGAGCCAATCAAGAAGCCAATCATTCTATGGTTTGCCTATCCTTCATATGCATGTATGCTGATATGCAGACACATTTACTATGTAGTAGAGGTGTTGAATAGAGATCATTGTAGAGATCCCTAGCGCTGTGTAACAGATTGAGCTCCCGTTACTTGTTCCAGC